CTTTTGATAACCCAAAAAAAAAAAAAAAAAAAAAAAGGTCGGTAGGATATCTTTAGCCGCCTCTGGGATGAAGGTGCTGATTGATATTTATCTTTTTCCAAGTTGGGGAGACTTGGGTGACCTGTAAGTGACTGCTGCTATTTTCTCTTCTTGTGATGGTAGCAACTAGCAAGAATAATTAATATTAATTATTTTGGTTTATGTTTCAATAATGTCGAAGAAGATTGCATGGACAATCGAAAGTGATAATTAAAAAGGATTAACAGCTCCCGTACGAGTTCTACGACAAGTGTGACTTGTGTGGTAATGTCAGGTGTAATATTCTTATTATTCAATTTTTAGGTTATTTGCTTATATGAACTTTTTTTTGTTCCAACCGTTTCTTACCGAAACACATTTAATGTAGCTAGTTGGTCTTTGGATGTCAAATTTGCGATTGTGCTACATGAATTTAGTTGAATGTTTCGTTTTACTTGTCATATGTGATTTTTCGTGCAGCAACTTGCACTCCAAAAGCCTACTACGTTCCGCAGAAGCTGTCTCAATAGCTGGAGTATGTAAAAGTAAGTTTGCTTGGTCTTATGGTTGAATAGTATATATCAGACTTTTGCACATTTTTTTTATTTGCTGCGTGTACCTGCTAGTGCTTGTCTTCCTAGCATGTTCATATTTCACTTTCTGTTACTTCTGTTACGTAAATTGATATTGGATGCAAAGTGAAATGATTTAACTATTTATTTCCATTCCGTTTTGAGAATTAGAAGCTTTCCAGGTAATGAGAATTTTAAAATGGGTTGCAGCCTACATTGAGAATCCCAAACAGAGATATTGGCTTACTTCTGGGTCAGCTGGACTTTTGGGAAAGTTATGATTTAGCCTGTTGGGACTTGTACTGTTTGAATAAGTTATTGTCCCAGTTAAGCCTGCAGGACTTTTGGGAAAGTTATGATTTAGCCTGTTGGGACTTGTACTGTTTGAATAAGTTATTGTCCCAGTTAAGCTTGCAGGACTTTTGGGAAAGTTTTGATTTAGCCTGTTGGGAGTTGTCCAGTTTGAATCAGTCATTGTCACAGTTAAGCCTGTTGTCAGTTAGACATCTACGAATGTAGCTACAGCCTACAGACTCAGTCCATCAGCATGTCTTTCTGTCCAACCCAGATAAGACAAAAAGGTTTGTGACCGCTGCTTCAAACATAGATTTAACTTGTAGACTGTAATGCTCGGACTTGGCATTCCAGGTGGCATACATGTGTTGACACGACACGGGTATTGGTATGAAATACAGGGTGGATCCTTCAATTTTTAGGTCGACACAGCAACCTAGGTGACTATGGTGTCGGAGCGTGGAAGCGGCAGTTGGTGGTTTGGGTTATGGGTTATGGGGTTTCCTTGAATTGATTGGAGATGGGCTTGGTTATTTGCATTGTTTATGTTGGATGTGTGACTGGCAACAGTGTTGTGGTGGTGATTGTTGATTGTAGCTACCGACGTGGTGGCGCCCGCTGATGTAGAGGTAGAGGTGGATTTTGGAGAAGGCGAGAGGATGTGGGCCGAGTTAGGGTTTGTGATGGGCTGGGAATGAATTTTGTGACATTTTTGAATAAATGGATTTTGAGCAGATGAATGGGTCTGTTCAATTGGGCTGTTTGTGTGGGGGCTGGATTTAATGTATTTGATGGGCTAGTGGGATTAGGTGTGTAAATTGGTGTTTCGGCTGAATTATATGTATATGACTTTGGTTTGATTTGGGCCGTGGTATGTAGACTGCTCATGTATCTGGTTACTTCGGATTAGGGCTGTATATGCGGCAGTATTGGTGGTAATATGGGGTTTTATTTGAAAAGCTGCAAATAACTTAATGAACATCAATGCAGTAGCAATGCAATCACGGCAATTTTTTATTTGAAACTAACAGAATACTCTAAAACAAAATTTTCGGGCCTGAAGCTTGAAAGACATCCACGTAGCCGTGTCTGAAATTTGAAATCTTTTTAGCCACATCCTTGTATTTTACATTTTAAAAAATAAAAGATCAAACACTTAGATGTATATCCGTACTCGAGTCCCAGCATCATAACTTGTGGATAGCCAATGTTACCTGGTATTCTTATGACACCCCTTTCCGATTAGACTATCTCTGTTCCTTGGAGACTGAGAAATGAGAGTTAGGACAAAATTTCACTATTTCGTTGTTCCATTATTCACTCATGTAGGTCCTTTAGTTGTTAGACCTGTAATACTTCTTCTGACATTGGAGCGAGTTAAGCTTTTGCGTAATATTTTCTTGCTTATTTACGAATTTGTGTTAAACTTTGGATATAGGCTTACTTGGATGCACCAGAAGATTCCCATCCTTTTGCTTGATATATTTTGACATGAAGCGAAGGACCAATGAGGTGCCTAGGAGTTCCAGAGGTTTGCAGGTTGAGGGCCCAAACTGGGTCCTTATCGCAGGCAGTGCTCTGTTGAGTGCATTATCAGTTCGCCTGGGATTTAAGCTGAAGCAGGTACTTGACGCCAAACGACCTGAAAATAGTGGCAATCTTTTAAAAGGTACGGAAAAGGATTCACGTCACCAACTCTTAGAGCTTGTTTGAAAATGATTTTCCGAAAATCATTTTCTACCTCAAATGTTATGGGACACATAGCTTTTCCCTACTTTTTAACCACACATTCTTCAAAAAAGTCATTTTTCACTTGAAAAATCTCTCCCAAGCAGGCTTGTAGTTTATTGGGAATAAAATTTAAATCAATCTTCTTGTATGTAAATTTGTTATATGCTCTTAAAGAAGAGTTGTTTATAATATAGGAAATGGAAAATCTACTGACGAGAAGAAGTTAAGGAACAGCCATATGCATTCAAATGCTTTTCGTTTTCCTCAAGATGAGAATGGTTGTCACAATTGTTATTCAGGTAAAACCTTTCGGTTCTGTTCCTATTCTTCAGTTTTTCAGGGAGTTGAGTTTTTATTGAAACTTGTTCAATTTTTTTTGTCTTTTAAAGATTATTTCATTTTATGAACAAATTTCTTTGTACTGATTTTTCTAGAAATTGTGATGAGTTTATATATATTTGCATGTGTGAGGAGATAAAACTTGGTTCTTGCTTATCAAAAAGTATGCATACATTCAAATGTTAATTCTTTAAGCGATTTCATGGAACAGGATCTGGAAACATGTTGGAAATCAAACAACAGTGCGATGGCCAAATGATGACAGAACCTGAAATGGTTCTTCCTTTAGTGACTGTGCCTGCTTCTGAGCTTAGGAAAGAGAATGGTGTCATCTGGGCATCTTCTCCCGATCGTCTTGAGCTGCCCCAGAAGCCATTCCACCGGTCAAACAGCTCTGACTCACCTTGCGTCTCTGAATCTGGATCTGATATTTTCAGCAAGCGAGAAGTGATACAAAAGCTGAGACAGCAGTTAAAAAGAAGAGATGACATGATATTGGAAATGCAGGATCAAATTACCGAACTTCAGAACTCTCTTAGTGCTCAGCTTTCGCATTCTTCCCATCTCCAGTTGCTGCTGGATGCCGCTAACAGGGACATATTTGATTCCGAGAGGGAAATACAGAGATTAAGAAAGGCAATAGCTGATCATTGCGTTGGGCATGTGAATTCTAGTAACAACCCCCCTACGGTTCCTGCATGGCCATCTGGAGGCAGGAATGGCCATTTAAATGCGTATCTTAAAGTTGAAAGTAATTTGGAGTCCTTGGAGAAAGGGAGAGGAGATGAGGGAAAGATTGAGATGCTGAGACAGGAAGTGAGCGAGTTAAAGGAAGTGATAGAGGGAAAAGAATACCTGCTGCAGAGCTACAAGGAGCAAAAGGCTGAGCTATCAGAAAAGATCAAAGAGTTGCAGCAGAGATTGGATTCTCAACTTCCCCATATTTTGTAGACAGTATTGACCTTTTGTGCATTCTTGTTTTGCTTCATTTTTGTGTCTCTCTGTTTTCTCGTGATCTGAAGTTCCCAATTTTGAAGAATCTCATCTCTAGTTCTTTTCATTCAATTTTTCTGTTTTCTGCTTCTTGTGCATTTGTGAAAAGAAAGGAGGAATAAGATGTTCATAAGTTTTTAGAGTTTGAATCAAGCCTGATTCACACAGTTTTTTGTGGAATGAAACAATGTTTTGTACTTCGAGCACATTAAGTCTTCAACTTGCAATTCTAAATATATGATGCAAGAAGGGTTTGCGCTCTTTCTGTTTCCGAATGATTTCAGCATACTGATCAATGTTAAAAATGACAGTGTTCCATGATATAGGACTTTGATATCAAATTAAAGTGCACCTAATTTGAAAGCTTAAAATCTGCAAATGGTTTGTAGAAAGTTCTCTGTTTTTGGCTTTTTGGTTGACATTAACGTGTTGAAATATTACCTTTGATTTTTGAGTTCAGCAGTGTGTACTCCATTTCTTGAATAATCTCAACTGACTTGTCATAGGTTCAAATCCTACTCAGCAGAATTTGGATCGCTCTTTTGACTTTAACATGGCGACTCATGTCCTTCTCCTTAGTTTCTAATCTAGCATTATCGTGTGACATAAAAGTGGGAAGTTGATGGTAGGTTTTTATTGATCAGTCTCGAGCAATCTAGTTATCACAAGTGGGAAAATCTTCGTTAAGTAAGTCCAGCACAGGATAATGATGCTTATGATATTTGATCAATTATCCTACTGGTGTGTGCGTTGGTTTGACTTGTTTCCTTCTTCAAAAGAGATCTCAGGTTCAATGTCTATTCACTCGAAATCAAATTTTGCACTTTTAGATCAGTCCTTTTAAACTTTAGTTAGTCCAGCCTTTGAGCAAGATTCGATGACAGAAGTTCGGAATCTTCGAAGACTCATTTTCAGCCAGCGATTCAATCTTCATCATCAAATACTTGTTTTTTATTTTTAGTTTTTGCTTGAGTTAGATGAGTGAGCAATGAACTGAATAGAGCAGTCAACAAGGATTTATGTAGCTACTAAATCTATGGAGAATAAAGCGTAGTTGTTTGTCATTTTTGCTCGAGTTGCTGTTGCAAAAGTTCAATATTGAAGGCAGAACAACCATCTACTCGAATAAGCACTGTTTAAAATAGTAAAGATAGTGTAGGGGAATCCGCTTCACCTGATCGTGATCAAGAAGATAATTGATTCTCCATGATTCTACGAGATATGATTCTAGGTCCTATAATTGACACCTTAGTTCTAGGAAATTACAATTTATGGTGTATATGTTGTTTCTAGAGTTTGAATTCACTCCTTCGAAAACAATCGGACAGAATTACCTGAATGCAGGAATTGATCAACAGGATCAGAAATTGTAATTCGAGCCCACCGACTTCACGATGTGTCCTTAAAACGAATTTGTTGCCTTCAATGGTGCTAAAGGCGTCCAGCAATCGTTTCCCAGGATAGAACGAATTTTTCGTCTCCTACGGAAGCAGCACTGCAGTCTGTAGGAGTTCCAACGAACTCAACGAAGTGTTTTTGACTTCGAGACAATATCAGAACGAGAGATAGGGAAATGAGATTCAAAGCACAGAAAGTTTGCAATGAAAATGGTGTAAATTTTCTGGTAGAAAGGCTGGCTATTTATAGACTTGTTCGTGGCCATTCGAACAGTCATCACCTTTCAGACAAGCCTCAAAAATCCGAACAGACATACTGTTCTTAAAAGTCGTGTCTGTTAAGTCGATTAACAGTCGGCTAACAGTCGACTGTTTGGTCGGTAAACAGTCGACTGTTTGGTCGGTAAACAGTCGAAACAGTCGACTGTTACAAGAAAATAAAACACCCGGAATAAGCCAAAATTTAAATAAATTTTGTACCCAAGAATTTGATTATTTACAATTTGGCCCAAAATTTTAAATAAATTTTGTCCAAAAAGTTAATATAGTGTAAAGGTCGACCAGGACCCGCACCGAACCGGACCGGACTCGGGCACGTGCTCGTGCTCGTGCCGTGCCGAGCCGAGTCGAGCCGGCCGGTCGGACGGACGGCGGCGGCAGCGCGCGCGTGTGGGTTTATGACCGAACCTAATGGGATATAGGTCTTCCCCCTTCCAAAGACTATTGGTACCCCTTGGGGCCCAAACCCAATTCCAATCTTCCACCTTATAAACCACACCAAAGTTTCCTAACTTTCCTATGTGGGATAAGTGTTTGAAAAATCAAATTCTTCCATAATCCTTAGTTTATGTGGGTTACTTTAACGCTTAATATTTCATTCAATTTTAAATGGTTTTCGATAAATAAATATATCACGTTAATCATCTCGCGGAGTAGAACGTGAATATGCTAGGTCCCGCATTATTTAAAAGGTGGGTCCCACTGAAATTTGGGCTCAAAGTTGACCCATTAAACCATTTTTTCCAACAGTATATTCAAATTCTTTCCTTATTTAAAGTTGTATAGATTTATTCTATAAGTATAGATCACTTCACAATATTTATGCTTGAGGCATTTTGTAACAACCCCGACATTAGGATTTAAATTTGTAACAAAAAACGTGTTTCTTAGATCTTTGAAATTCGGGTTAAATTAAAATTTTCCTTATTTCCTTTTTATTTCGTAGACTACCTTTATGTCCTATTATAACTTTATAAGTTCCAACAAATAACAAAAACAAATGATTACGTTAGTCAGCTTCAGTTTGTTAAATAAATGAAACTAAAACAGAGGGTGGAAATGGCAATTAGCATACGTTAATGGAGTTTAACCCAGCAACGCGCTACTCCACACTCAAAACACATGCAAAAATTTATTCTCGGGTACATTGAACACAACATATGAAAAAGTGCGTAACTTATTCCATCGACCTTCAACTTACTTGATTCCCCACTGTTGTTGTCCAAAAACTCCAAGAATTCTATCTAAAATGGCACGACAAAGTTTGGATAGAAAACTGAAATTTATTCATCATAAGTCCGAGGTTTAGTCTTAACTTATTTAGCAACTTTAATTATTCATTCTCAACATGAATCACACATATTCAACCAATATTTTGGCTAGACAACTCATAAAAGATCAAAGATCGAAGAAACCAAAAGAAGAAGACTGAGAGTCCAGAAAAGAGACACTCGAAAAATCTAGATACTAAGGAAAAAGGAAGAGTAACCTCAATCGTCCAGCTCCCCAAGATTCTCATAGTAGGATAGATTAATCTTAACCATAGGTTGAATCCAACGGTCTAGCAGCCTCACAAAGGATCACAGTCCAAGTGAACACATTTGAGCCAATCCGAGGTTGCCATGTGGCCTTCCAACCAGATTAGCAAATTAAAAGAGTGGCATTTATTTTTTGAGAAACATGAGTTACACTTTATATTATTCACCTTGGTTCTCACAAAAATATAACTCTCTTTGGTTGTTTATGTGTGCTTAATTTGGCTAATCCTACATCATTGCCCATGTACCTGCAAAAGAATTAACCTGTAACAATATTCAGTAAGGATAAACATGTCTTAAACTTACTTACAGTTACAACTTTAGTTCCTATGTCTGATGGATTATTATCTGTATGAATCTTAATCAGATTAACTTCACTTGCAGATAGTTTTTCTCTAATAAAGTGATACTTCACCTCAATATGTTTGGACCTTTCATGATACACGAGATTTTTACAGAGTAATAACGCACTTTGACTGTCAGTAAAAATTGTAGGAGTGTCATGCAGGAAGTTCAATTCTTTTAAAATTCCTTTTAGCTAGATGCATTCTTTTACGGTCTCAATTATAGCAATATATTCCGCTTCTGTACTCGACAAAGTTACTATAGACTGTAACTGAGATTTGCATGTTATGCAATTGTCATCTAGTGTAAAAAAATAGGACATAGTAGATTTTCTTTGATCTTTATCACCGGCAAAGTCAGCATTTACATATTCTTTTAAAGTCAAATTATTTGACCCCTTCTTATACGCTAGTCCTAGATTTAATGTCCCATTAATGTATCTCAGCAGCCATTTTAATCCTACCCAATGTGGTTTCCTTGGGTTGGACATAAATCTACTTAAAAAACTAATTGCATAAGCAAGATCAGGTCTGGTGGTTATCATAGAAAATATAACAGATCCTATGGCATTGACATATGGGATGTTTTCCATTGCCTTAATTTCGTCTTGTGTTTTTGGGGAATGCCTAGTTGATAGATTCATATGAGCAGCTAAAGGAACATTTACATGTTTAGATTCTTTCATGCCAAATTTAGTTACAACTTTATCCAGATAAGATTGCTAAGTGAGTGTTAATCTATTCTCAAATCTATTCCTCTTAATAACCATTCCTAAAATCTTTTTGGCGTTACTTAAATCCTCCATATTAAATTCTGATTTTAAAAGGTTTTTGAGTCTTAAGATTTCAGTCTTGCTTGCACTAGTTTTAAGCATATCATCAACGTATAACAATAAGTAAACTTCACATCCACTCTTAGCATTGTTATAATACAGGCAAGCATCATACCTACTTTTAAAACCAATTTTGATAATATACGAATCAAACCGTTTATACCATGCTTGGGACTGTGTTTAAGTCCATACAATGATTTTTGCAATTTAAACGCGGTCATTTTTACCCTTCACCTTAAAGCCTTGAGGCTAAAACATGTAAATATCTTCATCCAGTTCACCATGTAAGAAGGCCGTCTTAACGTCAATTTGTTAAAGCTCCCAATTAAGATGAGCCACTAATGCTAGGATCAGCCTAATGGTCCTATATTTTATCACAGGTGAAAATATTTCATTATAATCTATTTTTTCTTTTTGGGTAAACCCCTTAGCTACAAGTCTAGCCTTGTACCTTAAAGGATTAGTAGAATTTTTCACCTCCTTTAATTTGTAAATCCACTTACATTGGACAATCCTATGATATTTAGGTTTTCCAACTAATTTCCAAGTCTTGATTTTATTTAGAGATTGCATTTCTTCTTCCATAGCCCTTTTCCAATTCCTAGATTTTGGTCTTCTAACTGGTTCTTCATAAGAAACAGGTTCAAATTGTTCTATACTTTCACTAGACATTAAGGCAAAATCTGTAAGACTTTGTGATTCATATCTAGGGTTGGGTTTATCCTGCCTTCTTTCCCTATCTCTTACAAGTTGATAGTCCTGAAGAGAGGTATCCTCTATGGGGTCAACCTGATTTTCAAATTGAATTTGTGTCTGAGGTAGGATTTCTCCAACTTCACCTTCATTAGGTTCTCCTTCTTCTTCTTGAAGTGTGGAAATGTTAGTTTTAATACTATCAAGTTGAGTACTGCTTAATTTGGTGAGCTTCACCTCACTTTTGGTTAGGTAGTTATCTAGTTTATTAGATTTGAGTTTTAAGCATGGCATCTTAGATTCATTAAACCTCACATTTCTACTATTAATGATCTTAATGCCCTAAACCCCTAATGCCCATAGTCTGTAACCTTTACACCTTCAGGGTAACTCAACATGATAAATTTTGTTGCTTGAGGGTCTAATTTTCCTTCAACTTGATGTGCATAGGCAGCACACCCAAATACCCTGATATTAGAGAGATTTCATTTTTTGCCAGATCATAGCTCCTGAGGTGTTTTAAATCCAATGGAACAGGAAGGTGATCTGTTAATCAAATATGTAGTTGTACACACATTTTCAGCCCAAAACCCTTTTGCAGGTCCTGAACTGATTAGCATACATCTGACCTTATTTATCAAGGTCCTGTTCATTCTTTTTGCCACTTCATTTTGTTAGGAGTGTTTTGATAGTCCTTTGTCTCAAGATACCTTTCTGTTTGCAGAAATTTTCAAATTTAGAATTCAAGACCATTGTCTGTCATTAAGGTTTTTAATTTTTTATCCAGTTGTTTTTCAACCATTTTTAACCATATTCTGAATTTTTGAAAGGTGTTTGACTTAGTCTTTAAAGGAAAGATCTACACTTTTCTGGAATAGTCATCAACAATATATAAGAAATATAGGTTGCCTCCAAAAGTGGGGTGACTTTAAGGCCCCCATAGGTCAACATGGACATAGTCTAAGGGTTTCTTGGTAACATGTGAACCTGTTTCAAAGCTCACCCTGTGAGATTTTCCAAGAAAACGTGTTTAACAAAACTCTAATGTTTCAACTAAAATTTTCCCTAGTAACTTTTGATTACTTAAAGATTTTAACCCTTTATTCCCAATATGTCTCATTCTCTTATGCCACAATTCAGTTTTATTCTCAGTAACAGTGAGGAGATTGGAATTAGGAACAATATTAGTTTTGCTTTCGAGGTAGTACAATGGATTTCTTTTTGGTCCTTTCATCACAACTAGAGAACCTTTCATTATTTTTAATACTTTGTTATCAGACTTGAAGGTATGTCCTTCATCTTCAAGGATCCCTAAAGATAGTAGGTTTCTTTTCATATTAGGGACATATCTTACATTCAAGATTGGCCTGACAGTGCCATCATGCATTTTTATGACAATGTCTCCAATTCTAACAACAGTCTGTAAATTATTATCCCTATGTACATTTTCTAGGTTCTATTTCTTTATAGTTAAAGAACCAGTTTGTTATTGGGCACACGTGAAAGGTACATCCTGAGTCTAATATCCAATCTTCATTAATTTCCTCACTAGATACAGTCATAACATAGAGACTGTCAACTTCAGCTTTCATAGTGTTATTATTTAACTCTCCATTATTCAGATCTCTTTGTTTCATTTTTGGTTCAAAGCAATCCCTTTTGAAGTGTCCCGGTTTTCAACAATTGTAGCACTTCTAGTTGCTTTTTGATTTGGTTTTAGCTTTCCGTTTCCTTTATTTGTGGAAAATTATTTTTTCTCTTTTCAGGTCTTCCTCTTGCAAACATGCTCTCATCTCTAGGATTAGATTTAGTTTCTTTTTTTACTTCTAACTCCTTAGATTTCAAAGCATCAATGACTATAGCTTGAGTTAGTTTATCCCTTGAATATTTTATTGCATTTTTGACATCTTTATATGAGTTAGGTAATGAATTCAATAGGATTACAGCAAGGTCTTCATCATCAAACTTTTTCTCATTATGTGCTAGGCTTTTCACTACTTGTCTTTCAATTTTATAGATGTAAAATTATAGACCTATAAACAATTTCATTCATGTCTTCAATTTCATTTGGTTTTGTCTTAAATTCAGCATAAAAATTTTTTAGGATCATCAAGGGCCTTAGCAACCCTCTGTTGAACCAGAATGACTCTCATTTTCTGCTTCCATATTGAGTAATCTCCATTTTCATCGAATTGAGACAATTTGACCTTCGAACACATCGTGATTTCTGTAAAAGGTTGGTATATACTCATGGACATGGTGTAATCTTGAATTAAATCTTGAATTAAATTTTGGATAGACAACTCATAAGATATCAAAGATTGAAGAAACCAGAAGAAGACTGAGAGTCCGGAAGAGAAAGACTCGAAAAATCTAGAGATCAAGGTAAAATGAAAAGTGACCTCAATCGTCCAGCTCTCCAAGAATCTCATAGCGGGGTAGATTAATCTCAGCCATAGGTTGAATCCAATGGTCCAACAGCCTTACAAAAAAGCGCAATCCAAGTGAACACATTTGAGCCAATCCGGGGTTGCCCGTGTGGCCTTCCAACCAGATTAGCAAATTAAAAGAGATGCATTTTTTTTGAGAAATACGAGTTACACTTTACAATTTTATATTTATTATTACTTTTGACGTTCAATAACTTGGGTGGCTTTTATCCGAACTATTTTCTTTGGACTAGTGCATTAGGCAACATTGACAAATCTCACGATTCAAACTATTTTCTTTGGACTAGTGCATTGGGCAACATTGATAAATCTCACGAAGCTTAAAAAGCTCTTGAATATTTTTTCACAAAATGTTATTTTTAAATCTAGCCCAACAAGTCGCTTGAATATTCATTCTGATTTGATAAAATAACAAATTGAGTTCAGACAAAATTTAGGAACCCCAGCTGAAATTTTGTAAAACGAAAACAATAATCATAACATGACATAATATAGAGCTAGTCAACAACCAAGAGTAAATAATTTCCTGAAAAGCAAATTATAAGCTATTTGAAACCACCTAAATAAACAAGTATGAGAAAAATTTCGGTGGGGGTTGTCGCATCATCTTACGTGATCATGTCTCATATCATTGGGTGAGGGTGGGTTACCCGATAACGTGGTGGCTCCCCATTCGACTATCACACCACATAGGACGGTGCGATCCCCCCCCCCCCCCCCCCCCCCCCCCCCAACACATACACACACAAAATAAATAAAAATAACTGTAAACATTTTATCCTATGGCTGTTGTATAAAATCTGCTATTTTGCGAACTAAAAAAAAAAAATTGGAGCTTGTTACCTGGACATCATTTTTTGTTTTGTTTTTTGAATTAATTTATCTACTCTTG